TGATTTCATTTTCTAAGGAAATATGTAATTAAATAAATAACTCATATTTTAGAACTGTTTCTAGTTAATTATGGTACATGCATACATACACAAAAACTAATACAAATTCTTATTCACTCAACTTGGTGCTAAATAATAATATTCTCAGAGAAAGTAAGATTCCATTAATACAGCTCTCAATATAATTTTGTTTATTAAATAAATTAAATATTCACACTATAATGAGATCAGACTTCTCTAGGTATATAGTTGAACCATATCATAAATGGATGAATGAATGGGTTTAAATCCTTTAATATTGAGAGTATATTACTTAAGATTTTTAAAATAGTACTTCATTACCTAAGATTTTGGGGAATAGTATTTATTTATTACCAGCCTCAAACAAAGCTTCAAAAGTAAATCCTTGGCAAACAGGTTTGGCATATCAAAGGAAAAATTTTTGTTATGGTTGTTTTCAAACAGTAAGAAGTATGGTATTCTTTGGATAAATTATTATTATCTAATTAAATACTTGTTGAGCAGAACAATGTCAGATGAACTCATTAGCTGAATATTTTGACTATCTATGTTCTTGTAAATGTACAATGACCAGAAGAGTAGCTGTACATCTCTTATTTAATGCAATAACAATGGTAACCAATTCTAGCTCGTTCTTTTTTAAATCACAGTCCATCAAAGGAACACAAAAAGTCCAATTAAAATAAGTTCAATAATAACAAAGAACATGTTCCTTTTCCAACTTTTCTAAAGACTTTTCCGATCTTTAAGCAAAGTTCACTCAGTAATTATCTTATTTATGAAAGTAAAGACAGAAGGATATTTCTTTTATTAAATAAATGGCTTTATGCTTTGGATGTAGAAAGCATCTTGAAACAGTCAAAATAGAAAGTGTGTTGAATGTCATCAACTCATTTCCTCCCACCCACTGTTTTAAATCGTTTGTTTGGTTCCAATGTATACTACACTTACATAAGTTGTTTATGAAGAGTCAAATTAATAGTCTTTGCAATTGTTTTTGTTGGAATTTGGAGAGCTGACAAATGAATTAGTAGAAAATGGCAATTCTACATGAATTAGCTTTTAAGTCTCCCTAAGAGCCTGATGCAGAACTTAATAAGAGACTTATTAGGAGAAGTAGGACAACTTAATTCAGATTGATTATAGACTTCGATGAAGACAGCTGGGGTTCAAATGAAACTGAAAAAGAACTTATATGCACTTCAAAGTATGCTAAGCAGATGTCTGAAACAATTACTCCGCTCTGCCTTTTCAGAAGTTTCAAAGGCGATGGGAATAGCATGGTAAACGAGGGTTCTATTTGCCTAAGTCTAGGTAGTGGCTTTTAAAACACACTCAGCGCTATCTAAAATCAGATGCTTTGGGAAAAGAAAGTGATTTGACATTGCTGCCCTAAGTAATTTGCTTTTAGCTTAATAAACAAAGGAGGAGATAAGAGGGAATACATGGGAACTTAGTAATAAGCTCTCCTGCAACAGTAACTTACAATTAATTTTACATGGAACAAATAATTTGGTCAGATTTTTAAGATGACTAATTCCTACTTTAGTTTCTAAGCTCCATTAAAGCTTAGCCCTTCTATTAAAGAGCTATTAAAGGTAAATAAATATATGTAAATTCATGTAATCCATAATTTTAAAATATGTATAAGATACTTTCACAATATTGGTTTAGAAATCCAAACAATCACATCTACTGTCACCAGTACATAAATATTCTTTTTTTTTTTTTTTGAGTTGGAGTCTCACTGTGTCACCCAGGCTGGAGTACAGTGGCACACTCATGGCCACCCCAGCATCGACCAGAGGAGATCCTTCAGACTCAGTCTTCCAAGTAGCCGGAACTACAGGCACATGCTACCATGCCCAGTTAAGTTTTTGATTTATTGTAGAGAGAGGTCTCACCAAGTTGCCCAGGCTGGTCTCGAACCCGCGGGTTCAGGCAATCCACTCGCTTCGGTCTCACAAACTGCTGGGATTACAGGTTGAGCCACCAAGCCCGGCTTACATAAATATTCTATTAAAAATATTACACTTGTAAAGTGTAGAGTGAAACTTCACTATAATATGCCTTTTGATAGATTTATTTTCAGATATTAAAGGCCAAATTATATGCATTTAAACATCACAACTGCATGCTTTATTAATTAGAGAAAGCACTGGTTACTTTACGTGGCAGGTGTTCATTTTATATTTAACCAAGATTTATGAGGGATTACATATTTTTTGTTTTTATTTATGATCAGAGGCTTGCTTATTATATATGGTATTTTTACAAAAACAATAACAAGAACAACAACAAAAGCTTCAATATAGCAATTCATTTACAGTTCATAACAATGAACAAAATATATTAATAAACTTTCCTCTTCTTACTATAAGCAGTATACTTCATTCATTATGAAGATACCATGCATTTATTCGGAATTGAGAGAGCTTACATAGTTAGAATTATTCTTAGAACTGCCCTGTTCATGATGATTTTGTCTACGCATATACCTTCTAACTCTAGAAGGAATTATAAACTTTCTTTATAAAATTCATATATATGAAAGATTTAAGATTGACTTGACTCATATAAATGACAAACAAAAATAAAATAATAATAAAACTTTAGAACCAGGGTTAAGGAAAGAAAAGCAATAAGGGAAAATAGAATGACATGAATAAGGTTACATACTTCCTGCTTGTCAAAGTGAAGGTGAAATTCTAATGCATTACATAACATTTTTTATTATCTATTTAAAGGAAACATACTTGGTTTTCTCAATGTCAACTTTTAAGATAGCATTTTTTGGAAAAATTTCTCAAACCAAGCCATGGGGATTTAGGATGGCAGGTTTAAAAAGATGCATTTGCCAGTTTTCTTCTTAAAATTGTAGATGTGAATGCTGAACATAAATCGGTAGAGATGGTATGGTGGCTTCATCATAGTTTCTGGCCCACTACACACATCATCAAGTCAATCTCAATTAGAATGCCAAAAGAGGTCTACTCAGAATATTTCATAGTAAGAACTTTGAAGAAAAACTCATGTGATCCCTGCCCTTGACTTTTTGCAGTAAGAAACGTAAGTTTAAAATGTTATTAAAAATGTAAAATGCATAACTACATAGATATGACAAATTTGCATATCCCAAGATGGCAGCCTGGGAGAGTTTAACTATGGTGTGTGAAAAATTCATTCATTGGACTTCATTCTCTAGGCAGGCATTCTCCTGCAAGGAGTTTGGATTGAAGTTGGAAGAGCCTGGATAATGCAGAAATAGCAATAAAGATATTGATTCACTTATTCTTAACCAAACATTTAAAAGGCAGTGTTTATGATATGTCAGGCATACTGACCAGGGAATGGGATTTAAAAATGTATACTGCTATAATCTAAGTAAAAGATGCTGGGGATTAGAACAGGACATTGGTCTAAAAGAGGAAAGAAAAGATAAAAGAGATATTCTGAGGTAACAGGAGCAATCACATGCAGTCAGTGAAAATGTAGAAGGCTTTAAGAGTGAATCTAAAGTATTTAGCCTGCAAAATTTGTTGGATTATGATTCATTAACTAAAATAAGAAACAGAAAAAAAAGGACAGATAGAAGGAGATAGTAGTAGAAGAACGGGAAAAAAGAAGAAATGAACTTGCTTTTAGAATAGTTGCATTTGTGATTCCAAGGCCCTATGAGTTAGTACATCAGAAGAGAGTAGACTAGAGATTTAGATTTGCCAGCATCCATGCCATCTCAAACAGGAAGCATTTAAAGAATAAAGAAGAGGGCCGGGCACAGTGACTCAACCTGTAATCCCAGAGCTTTGGGAGGCCGAAGTGAGTTGATTGCCTGAGCCCACAGGTACGAGACCTGCCTGGGCCACTTGGCGAGACCTCATCTCTACAATAAATAAATTAAAAAAAAAATCAGCCAGGCATGGTAGCACGCGCCTGTAATTCTGGCTACTCGGTAGGTTGAGGTGGAAGGATTGCTGGAGTCCAGCAGGTCGAGGCTGCAGTGGCCGGGAGTGTGCCACTGCACTCCAATCTGGGCAACAGAATGAGACGCCAACTCAAAAAATAATAAATAAATAAATAAATAAATAAGAGAATTGGGCTAAGGTTAGAAACTTGGGAACACCAAAATTTGAAGGGTAGGGAGAAGTTAAGAATTTAGGAAAATATAGGAAGGAGAAAAATGTGAACTTCAACAGTGCCAGGAAAGCCAAGGAAGAAAACAACTTCTAGAATGAAGGTGCTTGCAAACATGCTGAGAGCATGAGAGCATTTAATTTCTTTTGAATTTGAATCTAGGAGGACTTTTGCGGTTTTGACATAGATGAGTAGTTGCTGATTTCAAAATGATACAGCTAAATATGTATATTCTTTCTTAATAAATAGCATATTTGCCATTTTTGTGCCATAAGGGAATTTAACTTTGGTCTCCTGGACAGTGGTCCAGGAGATTTTTTCTTATGTCTGCAGTGGGCTAATGCAACTTGAAATTTAATTACAAACACTGCCTCCAAAGGAAGAATAGCATTTAATGGCCTTAGTTCACAGTACCAGATCTTACCCAGGTCATGTAATTTAGTTACCAAAAAGGCCAACACCTAGACTCCTGGCTCTTGGTTAAGTGTTATATTTTTCCCTGATCTGATACCAAGTGACACAATAAATACACATACACACACAATCACACACACATAAATCAGACTACTTTAGTACAATCACTTAAATTAGTTTCTTAATGTTAAAGTCAGAGTTAATTTTTTGCCTTGTAACTTTTTAATACTTAATTTCATATCATAACAGACAGGTCACTATCTTCTCTTGGAGACAATACTATGTGAAAGAAGACTGAATTTGTGAAAGATGGACTGATTTCTATCATTTAAGTACTTGAATATTGTAAGAAGAGAACGTTGCACTCAAGTTTAGATTAGAAGCTCTTCTGAGTCTCTCAAAGGGCCCCGAGGTAAAGTAGTAGACAGTACCTTGACTTTTTCGAGATGATCTTGCAGGGAGTCAATGAGGAGATCGCCTACGGGCTGCCAGGATCCTTTGATCACCTCAGCTTGGCGCAGCTTGAGGTCCAGTTCATCTGTTGCCTCCTGAAGTTCCTGGAGTCTTTCGAGGGCCTCATCTATTTTTCTCTGCCAATCAGCGGAGTGCAGGTTCAATTTTTCCCACTCAGTATTGACCTCCTCAGCCTGCTTTCGTAGGAGCCGAGTAACATTCTTGGCTCTCTCCTCAGGAGGCAGCTCTAAGTTGGCAACATTACAAGGATTTAGGCCACATACATCTTTGTTTGTTTAAAAAAATTGTCAAAAAGTCATATTGGAAGGAAAAATAAAAGAGTACAGTTTAACAGAAGGGCAACCTACTGATGAATGGCTCTTTTATAACTTGGCATAAATTTTTATACTGTCCAGCATATCTAAAGTCTGTCTTCCTGAGTGAATCTGTTCTACCTTATATCAATCAGATAATCTATAAGATTCATTTAAGCTATTGAGGAGAAAAATGTTAGAATGCACACCACAAACTCCAATTTACTTCAGTCAGTCTCTTAAATTGAAAATTAGCTTGTAGTCTCTGTAACAATAGAATTCCTTCTCACAGATAAACCCCTTTGTTTTTTTATTTTCTAAATGTTCCAATAACTGATTGCTAATCTCTTTTCAAGTTTATTTATGAATGTGCAAACAGATTTATGCATGATGGTTTACGAGTCCTTATTCTTTATCAACATCTATGTTTAATTTGAATTGATTCTATTTAACCTAGAAAATATGAGAGCTATCCAGACCCTGGCAGCAAGAATGGATGGGTTGCTCTGTCACCACTGATCCTTCTATCAATATGTTATTATAGTTCCACATTCAATTACCTCTGGGCTCCTGGTAGAGTTTCTCTAGTCCTTCCAAAGGCTGCTCTGTCAGAAATATTCGTACAGTCTCAAGAGTACTCATGATTACAGGTTCTTTAGTTTTCAATTCCCTCTTGAAGGCCTGTGAAATAAGATGAAAAGAAATGCTTATTTGGCTTGTGGCATTCTTCTCAAAATTAATCCTGGGTGCTCAGAAATTGTTTATGAAACTCCCAGGTCAATTTTTTTTTATCTCTTTTATTTATAAACTGATAGTCACAAAGTGATAAAAATAAATGCCTATACGGGTCTTTCTGTTAATGAGGAAACCACTGTGTTTGTAAAGCTATTCTGGGGAGAGGAGTGGAGCTTTCAAGATAGTTAATGCCCTCTCATTAAGATAAGAGTGCTTTGTTTATATAACGTAACACCAAACTTGAAATCTAGAAATAAAGGTGCAAGATATATATTGCAAAACTCTGGGATGACTAATGAAGACTTAAATACATTCCCCAAAAAGGAAATTTGGAGAAAAATGGGAAGTCTTAAGGGACATTTGGAGGAACTTAGGCTGTATTGAAATATGCACTAATTCAATTGATAATCATCAGTTAATTCAGTCAAAATGTCTGACAATGAGTAAAATAGCATATCGCAGTAAGCTAAGTGAAAAGTTTCAGTACTTTTGAAAAATACCCATTACATTGTACATTGTGACCTCCTTCAAAATAGTAGAAATGTTTTGAGTTATTATGGATACAAGAATTGTAGGAGCCAGGCTCGGTGGCTCAGCCTGTAATCCCACGCCTTTGGGAGGCTGAGGTGAGTAGATTGTCTGAGCCCACGGGTTCGAGACCCGCCTGGGCAGTGAGACCTCATCTCTACAATAAATCAAAAAATCAGCCGGGCGTGGTAGCGCATGCCTGTAATTCTGGCTACTTGGAAGGCTGAGGCGGAAGGATCGCCGGAGTCCAGCAGGTCGAGGCTGCGGTGACCGGGAGAGGTCCCTGCACTCCAGTCTGGGTGATAGAGAGAGACTCCAACTCAAAAAAAAAAAAAAAAAAAAAGAATTGTAGGGACAAATCTTGAGGCTATCTGGTTTAGTTATCAATTAATTTGTAATCTTCCGTGATACCGGGGACTGAGAAAAGCAAAATGGATAATTTCTGCTTTTAAGTTAATAAACAATTGAGTGCTAAAAGCATTGTGGGGCATACTGTGAGGCTAGAATAAACCAACAGAGAGTTGGAAACCATCAAAGAAGTTGTTGAACTAGATTCTGTGATCCCAGAAGTGCAGGTATTAATAAAAGTATTAAGTAAGTGCTACATAAATGCTAATATATCTGTGCAATAGCAGTAGTAATAATATCTGCCCTCATCTATAGCTTACTTTTTGTAATTTTTTAAAACTCTGTCTTATTAGCCGGGCTTGGTGACTGTAATCCCGCGCCTTTGGGAGGCTGAGGTGAGTGGATTGCCTGAGCCTGCGGGTTTGAGACCCGCCTGGGCAGCGAGACTTCATCTCTACAATAAATCAGAAAATCAGCTGGGCATGGCAGCGCATGCCTGTAATTCCGGCTACTTGGACGGCTGAGGCGGAAGGATCGCCGGAGTCCAGCAGGTGGAGGTTGCGGTGGCCGGGAGCGGCCACTGCACTCCAACCTGGGCGACAGAGTGAGACTCCAACTCAAAAAACCCCCAAAAAACCAAAAAACAAAAACTCTGTCTTATTTATAGCAATGTTGCCTACTGAATTTAAGCCCTGTTTCATCACTGGGGGAAAAACCCCCCAGCAGTATCCTCCTTTAAATTTGAGATATACTCTTAAGTTACAGAAGTGTTCCAAAACTGTATTGTATGACACACTGATTAATAATATTATAGTGGTATTCACCATTCAAAAGAATCCTGAGTCTGATATTTTGCAAAATGATTCATCTTCCATCATTATTTTCAATTCAATAGAGAGAGGCAAGGCATTTGAATAAAAATAATGAAGTTCTGTAAGCAGAATATTAGGATTCAGCCTGTTGTTGAAGAAGACATTTCTGTATAGTGGGATGTTCCTGTACCTTAAAATCATACTGGGTAGGCAGGTTATTTACTCAGCTTATATATATGGCTTGTTCTCCTTCCAATATTCGACTTGAAATCTCTCTTTGTGTGTGTGCATGCCGATGTGTGTATGTGTATACAGTTCTTATATTCCTGTATTTTTCCATATATTTAATTTTCCCAACTTTAAACCAATTATCATATTGTCTAGTTTCTCGATTTGGATTTGACAGGAGGCAACTGATACTGATATTACTAAATTATAAAAATAATACTGGCTACCTTTATTGAACTACTGTGTGTCAGTGGTTCTATCAGAGCCTGGAAAAACAAAGTTGAATGCAAAAGTACCCCTTCCATTTAGGAACCTATAGTATGTAATGGAAGAATTAAACAAATAAATAATTTCAATACCGTGTGGAAAGTGTTACAGGTTTGTGCAATATGGGAAAGGAAGTTGGAAAAGGCTTCCAGGAGAAGATAGTAATCACACAGAATTCAAAAGCATGAACATTAATTAGTCAAGGAAGAGTAGGTTGCAGGGCATTCCAAGAAGAGGAAATTGCAATAGTGGAGACATAGAACATAGTGCAGTATTTCTTTTTTTCTTTTCTTTTCTTTTCTTTTTTTTTTTTTGAGTTGGAGTCTCACTCTGTCGCCCAGACTGGAGTGCAGGGGTCACTCCTGGCCACCTCAGCCTCGACCTGCTGGGCTCCGGCGATCCTTCCTCCTCAGCCTTCCAAGTAGCTGGAACTACAGGCGTGTGCTACCACGCTCGGCTAATTTTTGATTTATCGTAGAGATGAGGTCTCGCCAAGTTGCCCAGGTGGGTCTCAAACCCGTGTGCTCAGGCAATCTACTCACCTCGGCCTCCCAAAGCACTGGGATTATAGGCTGAGCCACCGAGCCCGACCTAGTGTAGTATTTCTAGTGCATGAAAAACAAGGAGAGGGCACATCCAAAGATGAAAAAAGACACTTTTCATTATTAGAATTATATCAAATCTTTGAACCAGAATTTGAAGCTTAGTCTCTCTATGACCATGTATAGCCTTCTAAGATGCTCACGTATTGTCCTGTAGGTAATCAGGCATCTTTGAAAGGATTTAAGCATGGGAGTGGCACAGGCAGATGTGTGTTTCAATTAGATTTTCCTGAAATAAATACAGTGTTTGTGAAGAGCAGATAAGGAATTGGAGAGACAATTAGGAGGCAATTGCAGGAGTTCAGAGAAAGATTATGAGGATCTAACCTAGTATGGTACCAGGCTTAAAAAAAATACAGTAATAGAGTAGGAAAATGTTTAGAAAGGAGAAGTGTGAGGACTTGGTGACTGATTAGATGCTGGAGATAAAAAAGAAGGAGCAAGGATGACTCAGTATCTAGGTTGAGTAGATGAGTGAATGCTGAGTGCAATTAAACTAAGTATGAAGAAATAAGCTCTCCTAGATTTCTCAGTACACCTATAAAAAAACTCTAACCTCCTGAAAACTTTTCCATACCATGGGGATTAGATCTGCAGCCATATCTCTAGTTCATTTATCTGACACAAGAGGGTCAACTGACTATAGTGCAGAGTAGGTTTCTAGGTTAGGCTCCATGTTGTCAGAAAGACTGAAATGGCTATCTCTCTAGGTATTTACATTTCAAAAAATATAAAGCTCAGACCTTAGTAACATTTCTAGGTTGTAAAGTTCAAGACATATGGGGCTAGATGGTTCCTTGTGAAGTTGGAGTGAAGACTCAGGCCCATTATGTTTCCATTAAAGAACCTTTCAGGCCGGGCTCGGTGGCTCAGCCTCTAATCCCACGCTTTGGGAGGCCGAGATGAGTGGATTGTTTGAGTCTGAGGGTTCAAGACCCACCTGGGCAACTTGGCGAGACCTCATCTCTACAATAAAAAAAATAAAAAATAAAAAATGAGCCGGGCATGGTAGCGCGCTCCTGCAGTTCCAGCTACTTGGAAGGTTGAGGCAGAAGGATCGCCAGAGCCCAGCAGGTCGAGGCTGGGGTGTCCGGGAACGGCCACTGCACTCCAGTCTGGGCAATGGAGTGAGACTTCAGTTAAAAAAAAAAACCAAAAAAACTTTCAAAAGGAGACGGGGATAGCTTCTTTTCTCTCCTTTATAAGCAAAACCAAATTATTTTTCCTGGTCTCTCACCTATGGAATATCCAGACACTCAATCAGGAAAATTTTTCATCAACATTCTTCAAGTCACCCTAGGGGTAAATCTTTAGGTGAAGGGGGGAGGGCTGGCAACAATATTTATTGCAGGTAATTATAAGAACTCTGCCCCTGACCCAGAATACTTCATGCACATTCAGAATAAAATTAATAAAGATTCAATTAAAAAACCAACAGTAAGATGGGGGGATCCTGTGCATGGGTAACAGAGTAAGGAGGTGTGATCCCCTTGGCTTGGAAAGGCAATATTCCTTCCACAAGGAAATAATAAAGTCTGATGTTTGGGGAGAAGACAAAAAAGATTCAGGAGTCATTGTCTCATCCAGCTAACATACATTTAGACCCTACATATCAAAGTTCCATGGATAGACAGATGATTAGGATCTCATGAGAGATCAAAAAGGAACAAATAAACAGAGAGATTGTGGAGTGTAGAAATTTCAGAGAGAATGAAAGTTTTGAGAGGAAGGAGGTGGCCAAGTGAACATAACCATTGCACACAGAAGTAATGCAAGACTAGCGCTGCAGAAGCGCTGGTGGGAACAATTTCAGTGGAGGACTGTAGGCTCAGAAGTGGGTGTAGCTGAAGAGTGAGTGGAAGAAGAAGGAATAGATATTTCAAGTAAAATTATTTGTTCATACAGGAAAAGAGAACAGAGAAGACAACAAGGTAACAAGATGAGGTGTTCTTTTTTAGGATAGGAATGATTTGAACATAGGCTGAAAGATGGAAGCTAGCAGTAGGATGACCAAATATCTTGGTATGCCCAGCACTGCGTTTTTCAGGATGCAGGACCTTCAATGTTAAAACCAGGATACTCCCAAGAAAATCAGACAGTCTTAGGCAAACCAGGACAGTTGATTGCCCTAGTAGAGAAAGATATATTAAAGACAAGAAAG